ATGTTCTTGCGTTGTGCGATTACGTCCAATGTTAGTATGATCGAAACAATGCCGGGTGAACATATTTCTAGTCTTTCAGGGCACCCCAAATTCTTTCCCACTAGTAGAAGGGACGGTCCATTATTCACCCCCAATGTTTGGGGAGGAGGAGGGGGAGCTGAAAACTTTTGAAATAAATTGTTTACAGGGCCGTGAGCACTGAAATAGATTATTTGTACGCGCGATAAACCAAAATTAATTGTTTGCAATCAGAAAACTTTTCATTCCTCCGCCAAAAAAGTAACGATCCGTTTCTAATGTATAGATAATTTTCTTGTATTTTGAGGGCCGACCGGGTATTTATAGGGAGGAACTGGAGCTTCCTGACCTTTCTGTGTTAGAAGACGAAATGTTGCAGCTGGTTGTTGAGGACGATGAAGAGTCCGATTACGTGCCTACCCCAATGCAAAGAGAGCACTCGGTTTAGAAACACTAAATAGAAATATTAGCATGTTAACAGGTGGAAGGATTAGCTCAATCCGATTCCAGCTTGCTCAACCACTAGCTGAGTGAGCAAAGAGTACGCATATTACATAAAGCGTAAAGCAACAGAAGTTATCATCGCCAGCCCTGACTGCATTTCCCCTGGGCAGTCAAAAGAGTTGTTTGATCTTGTTATCGTTCAGACCGCATGCACCACAAGACGAAAGTCCTGGCGACAAGGTGACAAAGGAGCTGATTTCCCTCTATGAACAATCGACCTCGTGGTACAGAAAGATGACAGTACTTTCCGTTTTCGTTAAGCATTACACGAAATCGCAGCTACAGAAGATGATACTAGGCTTAACTATGTGGCGGATAGACCAGGCAAGGAAGCACGCGGCAGTGGTTGGAGCCGGTGTGACTGAAGAGCGGCAATCTATGGGCTCGATGGCCAAAAACTTGATCATTATCTGGACTTCATCAGTCGCCCCCATTATAGTCAAGATGTGATGTATAGTACCAAAAAGCTACAAATATCAACTGGTGAGGTGTTACAGATCCCAAACGTGGTGCGCACTGTGCTAAGCTCCCTTATGGTTGCATTGTTATAGAACTACTGTTGTGAAATGGAGTTTGAGTCTCTCGCAAGATCAACCCCTTTGTTGTGCTTAAAGTAAGTAACCCTGTATAAACTGCTTCTTTATTATACATCTTTCCATGTGTTTTTTTTCTCTCACAGCGTTGACAGGTATGACTAGCATATGTAGACTAGCCTTTTCAATAAAAGATGCCGTATCGTTCTATGCAATCTTTCAACAGGTGTGTGCCGCATAGAAAACGAAGAGCCTCTCAGGCCTGGATAGTGTGACAAGTGAGGGATCGTTAGCCTTTGACACTTTGGAAGCTGCCGTTCATACTATCGGGTCACTAGGTTAGCGCAATTGCTCAAATTTTTCATTTGTTATGAAAGTGATCAAACGTGCATGGTAGTCATTAGGTTTGATTAATATTGGTCATAATTTCTCATGGCCTGTATGCAGGCATGTCTACTGAATGGGTTAACAGCACTGTTAAAAGGCTCCGATCAGCCAAGTTATACCTTAAGACCCATTACAAGCTTTATGTTCCCGAGGAAAGCCCTTGCGTAGATCACTGCCAGGCGTATGCGCTGTCTTCCGACGAGAAAGACTTCCACGCCACTTGTAAGCACCAGCATAACATTATATGTGAAAGATGCGAGGATACCAAATTAGTGCTCAATGAAATATCGTCTGTCTTAGCAACGATCGACTGCACCAGGTGACTACTAGTCAGCTATCCAGCAGCAATTTCATGGCCTAATTAGTACCTTATATCTAATATGCACAGAGTTAGTCATTTAGTACGCATACAGTTATGTTATGTGTTTGTCTTCAATGAAGCAGATTTCATATGACTATCGAAAACTAAGCGCAAGTAAAAAGAAGACTTTAGAAGAATAGGATCTCGGAAAAAGGCTCTTCCCATGGAGCCAACGAAGCAAGTGACAGGTATAAAGGTTTTGGAGCCTTTTCGCGCACCAGACACCGCAAAAGGCGCGTTGAAAAAGTCAGCTTCTCGGTCGAGAAATCCACCATCAGGGAAAGATGTGGGAAAGTAACTGAGAAGAAACTGCAAGCGCAGTGCTTTCATGTCCTGTGGAAGGGTGTATTAAAGTCTACCGCTCTAACCCCTACCTTGTCAGCCATCTCTACTTCGGCAAGCATCAGTACAAACTTCCCCGGGAAACGCAGTACGATCACATTAGACGGCAGTAGGCGGCGAAATGTTCCTCTCTGAAAGCAAAAATACCAGAGACCCACAAAACCTCCAGTACTTCTACCGCCAACAGCTCGACAGTGTGCCTTGCGGCTGGGCCCTCAAGACAAGGAGGTGCAGCAGGTTTACAGAACAGGGGAAGAACTTCCTTCTCGAGCTATTTCTTGTTGGTAAAGAGACTGGGAGCAAGATGACTCCGCCTGATGCTTCAAGACGAATACACATACTATGTCAGGAGGGT